TCATTCTTTTAAGCTAACTATGAATGGTCACACTTCAACTATAAGACTTTATTATTCTTGAAATGGATTTTTGATTTTGATTTAGTGTTTGGATATTGGAACATTATAACAACAACTATTAGATAATGTTATGATATATTGGGATATAATCATCATATTAATACTTGTTGTGTTCTATATTAACATGGTTAATCCATGAATAATGGTATTATTATAAAAGTTCATAGTCGATTATAATTATGGGAGAAATTATGAAGCAAGACTAATATGAATTAGATTGGTTGACTTTCACTAGATGAAAGTAGGCAAGAGATTGTAACCCAATTTCATAAGTACTTGTCAGAGAACTAGTATTGAACTGACCCGCATCAAGATCATCTCATGGATCGTTATCGTGAATGATACTTGATTAAAAGGTACTATCTTTGTATCCTTAACACCTGAGATAGATAATGGGACTTAAGTGTAGGGAGTACTATGCTTGATATGGTCAAATGTTCTTCCATAAACAGACAGTTATAAAAGCCATTTTCATGTATGGTGTGAACTATGCAAGAGGCTTACGTAGTCAAGATGGGATTTGTTCCTCTTATATGTTGAGAGTTAGACACCTAAGGCGCCTTACCAAAAGTTGAACAACTAATGAGATAGATTGCGATCTGAATCTCATGCTTAACATGATGTATGTAGCAAAGGGATAACTGATAAACTTACCTTATACAACAATTGTAGCTTTAAGCTTTTTGGGAATTGGGCGTTGATAGAATGGCACAAACAGTCATATGGTCTTAGGGGAAGTGAAATGTTGCTAGACATTCGCCACTGTCTATATCAGTCTAATATGAGTCGTGCGCAAGTAGGATATTGAAAGGCCTAGTATGCTCAAGAGTCATATTAAAGTGATATTACTAAATAACATATGATACTAATGGGTCACACTAACAACAACTTGATACAATTGATTATTTATTAGAAATTGATTTTAATAAATATTCAATAAAACTCTTATAATTAATTTGGAAATTATTTATTTCATGGAAATAATAATTCCATTAGCAAGTAACTTAATATATGTCATATGGTATGATTTATAAGTCATGTACAAACTTTTAGACAAGTTGAATCTTTTTGTCTTTTCCCTAAAACACGCAATTTCGAGATATGCATAAAAAGAAGAAGTGTATGACTTGTCCAATCATGCTTTAAAGGCATGGGAGACATGATTACGACAAGGGGACATATTTTTCTAAAGTTAAAATACCTAATGGGTTAAGACTTCACTTTAAGGCACAATAAATACGAGGCTTCCACTCTTGAAGTTCTTGCCCCTTTCTTCTTGCTTGTAGCTGAGAGCATCTTCCCTCTTTTCTTCTCTTCTCTTCTTTGAACATTTGAAGATTTGATGCTTGCATTTTGCTCTCTTTGAACCATACTTGGGTTTGGTTCAAAACTTAAGAGTTTTACACAAAGAACTAGCATTCTACATCAAGTTGAGTCATTGTTGGCGTCTCAAAGGTTCCACATCCTTCATCAACTTCCAAGCCCCCCAAGAGAACCTAAAGAGCTATAAAGGTTGTTATTTATTCATCCTTCCTTTGGTTGGTGTTTAATCTTTCTATAACTTACAAAAAGATCCTTTTGGGTATAAACTATTTATGTTATTTCAAAAAAAAAAAAAAAAGTCTTCCGTTGCCATATTTTTTTTAAGTTTATGAAACTATTTTTGAACTAAAACCCAACAATTGGTATCAAAGCCATCTTGTAATTTTGGTTAGATTTTTGATTTTTGGAAATCATGGTTTTTGGAGAATATGGATAACTTGTTTTTGTATAAAAATAAGTTCATACATATTTTCTTTGACAACTTTTAATTGTTATTTTATGTGACAAAAGTTTCATGTATCTTTTGTCATTTAAAGTTGTCTTAGAGAAACAAAGTTTGTTTTATGTATATGTTGATGTATGATCTGCATATACTAGCTAAGGACCAATGTGTTGTTATGTTGTTTTTATTGTAAAAATGGTTGTAATAATTTATTTATTCATATGGTATGTAATAATTAAATATATTAGTTTTTCTTGTTTATTTTTGTAAAGTAATAGATTAGTTTTTAGAAATAATTTATTTGTATAAAGATGTAACAAGAAATGAAGTTGGAAGCCATTTTTGGAAGACAAAAAGGAAAATTTACGAGTTCTACATGTGCTGAACAAAAAGATGACACTTTCCGTAAAGTGTCATGAATGCTACACATGTGTTGTACCTGAGCTGAATAGAAAGATGACACTTTCCGTGAAGTGCCATGAACCCTATCAACAATTGCTTTTTCTTTAAATGGCTATTGACCTAATGCAGCACATTCTGCAACCTTTTTCTGAAAAGTGTTGCATGTGGCAGAATTTTTCCTTTAAAGAAGATTTTTCAATCTTTTGCAAGCAATGAGTGTTTATTCAAGCGGGAGCTTCTACAACAACATTACAAGAATATTTTTTTGGTTCCCTTAAATGTCCCTTTAGGAATGGACTTGATATTTTTGTGTTGACTCACAAAAATATCATTAGTTGGATATGTTTGTGCACATGTGTTTTTATGCATTTTTTTTTGTGTTGTTTAGTTTATATATATATATATATATATATATATATATATATATATATATATATATATATATTATTTTGTATGGTTGATAAATTAGTTTTTCACATGATATATATATATATATATATATATATATATATATATATATATATATATATATATATATATATATATATATATATCATAAAATATAGATATAACCGCATCAAAAGATAAATCATTCTAAAAAAAATCATAAATAACATTGAAAAATCAAAACAAACAAACTATTTGAAAAATCAAATAGCCGCATCAAAAAAAGCAACAAATAAGAAAAATCATCAAATCCGCTTATATTCTCGATTCTTCAAAAAATGATAAAAAAGAATTCAATGAATACCTATTTGCTTCATTAATTAATAATATTTCTCCGGGAGAATTTAATAAGTGAGAAACAGTAAATGTATGTTTTCTGTTTCTTATATCAATTTATTTCAAATGGTTTGAAATATTTAATTGTGAATTAAATACAGTCCTACAAACAAAATGATAGTTGAGAATGTGGATATATAGTGATTAAAGACATGTGGGAGTTTTTTGCGACCATTCAATATGATTTTCAAAATGCAATAAGTGTTTTATATATATTTAAAATTTCTCTCTCTCTCTCTCTCTCTCTCTATATATATATATATATATATATATATATAATTTGTTTGTTTGTTGCAGTTTGGAAGAAGAAAAAGTTTGCTTTGTGTGATAAACTTTGATATGGTCTTAAAAATTATACCGCTTTTAATTGAAATGATGAATGATAGTCGGAAAAGAACTATATAATAACTAGAATGTTCTGTGTTTTATGATAACTAAAAACTAAATTAGAAATTGTTGGTTTTTTTGTATAATGGTGCAGTTTTTTTTAATTGTATGTTTTTGTTTATTGCTGGTAACAATTTTTTTTTTCTTTTTGCTGCGATTTGTGTTATTTGATGCTATATGTTAATACGGCAGTTTTATATTTTTTTTGGTGCTTTAGTTTAATAGAGAGGTTCTTATTTTTTTTGGGTGCGTTTTTTAGTTTATTTTATAAGGCTGGTTGCAGCATTTTCTAATGTGGTTTTTGAATGGCATCAACAAATAATGATATTTTATGATGCGATTCGTATTTATTTACCCGGATGTTTTATAAGGCGGTTTGCAACATTTTCTAATGGGGTTGTTGCACAGCATCAACAAATAATGATATTTTATGATGTGATTTATATTATTTATCCGGATATTTTATAAGGCGGTTTGTGACATTTTCTAATAACCGCATAAAAAACGCTATTGTATGATAGCCGCATCAACAAAAAATAGCGTTTTTTATGCGGTTATTAGAAAATGTCACAAACCGCCTTATAAAATATCCGGATAAATAATATAAATCACATCATAAAATATCATTATTTGTTGATGCTGTGCAACAACCCCATTAGAAATAAAAACCACATTATTAAACCTCTTATGTACTAGTGATTCTCTCTAATTCCCAAGGATTCTCGAGAACCAAAGGCCCCCTAAACTTCTATTCAACAAGAACCCTATCTGCGTAGGCCTTTTTGAATGCATAACTTCTCAAAAAAATTTCTTTAACAATTAACATTTATTAGTTAACAAAAAGTGGATGTTTATCAACCACTTATTGCCCTATAAGTCATTATTTCCGATATAAATTACCCTTTCAAAAAGCTTATTAAGATAGTTAACAGAAGAGACATATGCCTGCTGAGAACAAAAACAAATACACATATGCCTGTGTATACATATAATTAGAACAAACTAGAAGAGAGAAATAGTTTCTGTCAATCATCACAAAAGTAAAATAGATTATCAACTTATTGAATATGATACAAAAACTATGTTATTACAATAACAATCTAACTGTTTTTATAAAATGATTAAAGAGATTGTATGCGAATACAGTTTAGGTGACTTTCGACCTATTTGACGTGTTCCCTTTAGCTAAAAATATTTACTTGACTCGTTAGAGATAAAACTTAACTCAAAAATAAGTCCAATTTGACAGCTTAAACAACACCATGTTACAAATTCTCATGCAAATATGAAATCCAAATACGCGTATTATTGATAAGAACAATATAACACTATATATGAAAAGGCAAAAAGAAAAATCATCGATAATATATATTCGCAAACTGCACTACTTTCATTCGAGAGGATCTACGCAGCTTCTCTTCATGTCTTCATCTTGGCAACTATAACCAAGAAGGCAACGTATATCTTCTCCATGGTATCCTCAACAAACATGAAAAGCTTCTGTCTCCAATGTTTCTTGAACAACAATACTCCAATAACACCCCAAAACCCTGTTCCAAAACCACACATTATGTCCACATAAAACCATATCTTCATCGGCTCATCAGCTGCTTCGTATTTCTTCTTCCTTGTTGTTGTTGTTGGGTCTTCCGAATTTGAGCAACCCTTTGGCAATGGAGGACCACACAAATCTTTGTTCCCAGCATATATCGTATGGATCATCAAGGGTCTGCAATTGATTTCCACTTGGAATTTGTCCCCACAAGTTGTTGTGTGACAGATTCAAATAACTCAAAAAGGTCAAAGCTGCCATGCTCGGAGGGATCATCCCAGTCAACTCATTTCTTGCTAAATCGAGAGAATTTAAAGCTGTCAAGTTTCCAATGGTGCCTGGAATTTCCCCACTGAGATGATTATTGGACAAATTGAGACCCACCAACATGGAAAGCATAGTTAGCTTGACTGGTATTTCTCCCACTAGTTTATTGCTTGAAAGGTCCATGTTAAAAAGTAAAGCCAAATTTTTTGTATATTCAAGCTCAACACCTTTCATGACCTGAATTAGACTCTCATCATGATCAGGGTCGATAAGAAAATCAGGGTCACTCCTAACCATGGCACTCAACTCCCCTAGGCAATGAGGGATGGTTCCTCTTAAGTTGTTGTATGCAACATCCAAAATTTGAAGTTTTGGAGTTTTGCATAATGTTCGTGGAATTCTTCCGGTGAAGTTATTTTTGTGCAACCTCAAAACGATCAAAGATGTAAGATTTTCTCCAATCCATACGGGTATTTTTCCAGACAATCTATTATCACCGACATCTAAGACTTCTAAATCTCTTAAATTCCCTAATTCTCGAGGAAGTTCACCAGTAAAGTTATTTCCGTTGAGTCTTAACCGCGTTAAAGAATTAAGAGCTACTGAACTTGGAATCACACCACGCAACCGATTTGAGCTAAATCTCATCGTAACCAAGTTTTTCAAGTTCTTAAAACAGTTGGGAATTTTCCCGGATAACCTATTTTTGGCAAGATCAAGATATTGCAAATCTGTCCTTGTGCACAATGACCTAGGAATCGACCCATTGAAAAGGTTATTCTGGAGAAGCAATCCACGGGCAAATACCTGCCCAAAAAAGTTAACATTTCCCCCATTGGGAAGGTTCACCAAAGGTCCAGTAAGTTTGTTGTGAGAGAGATCTAAGAAAGGAATCATGGGCATCTTCTGCAATCATGTGGGCAGAGGTCCTGAAACTGTAGCATTCGACAAAACTAGTATCTCAATTTTCCTTTGATTTCGAAGCCACTGTGGAAATCCATTTGCTATATTGCAAGAATCGAGTTGAAGAGTTACCAACTGGAATGGAGGCATCCATTCACGTGAAACATTGAATGTCAACTTACTGTTAAAAGAAGCATCCAAGTCACTCAACATTGAAAGGTTAGCAAAATGGGCTTCATAAACTACTCCTTTTAGAAAATTGTAAGAGATGTCTAGAGATTGCAGTTTGGCAAGTTCCCCAATCGAAACTGGAATATTCCCATTTAATAAATTTCTAGATAGCTTCATTGCTTGTAACGAAACAAGCCTTCCTATAGATGCTGGAATGGGGCCTGTTAACTGATTCAATTCTAGATTCATTTCTTTTAAACCTGTTAAATTTCCAAAGGATTCTGGAATCAAACCATTCAATTGATTCCTAGAAAGGTCAATTACAGAAAGTTTCCCAAGGAATGTAGGAATGGGACCTGTTAACTCATTAGCAGATAGATATAATAGTTCTAAATATCTTAATCTTCCTAGTGATTTTGGGATTGAACCTGTCAATCCATTCCTACTTAGATATATGAACCTTAAATTCACCATTCTTCCAAGTGCTTCTGGAATTGTACCATTTATGATACTCCCCTCTAAATCCAATCCCTCCAAAGCATATTGAGAGCACTCAGATACGTTTCTTGATGAGTCGATCATTTCCATATGAATTGCATTTTCAGCCACACTTAAATGTCTAAGGTGACACTGTCTCCAGATTCCAACATCTTCAATCCGATGAAACGAGTTTTCAGAAAGATAAAGCTCTAGAAGGTTAGGCATAATAGGAACCCAGGAATTCAGATTGTTTCCAGTGAGGTCAAGGACTCGTAGGGAACTCATGTTGGTTAAAACAGATGGAAATACACCTTGAATTGAATTAGACCTAAGATTCAGCATGAGAGAAATTGAGGTAGCTCAGTTGCTTCAAGGATCCAATGAACTTTGGGATCCGGCTTCCACCAAAATCATTCCCACTCAAATCCAAATACATTAGATGCTTCAACTGAGCCAAAGAAGAGTTCACCTCACCACCAACTAAGTAGTAGTTGTAGTAGCCTTCACCAGAATTCTTGTCTCCTCTGAGATCAAGACTTTTGACATTTCCAGAATCATCTTCACAATGGACTCTTTCCCACAGGCAACAGTCATTTCCAACCCATGATGACAACATTTTAGAATCGTCGTCTTGGACGCTGTGTTTGAACTTGAGAAGAGCAACTCGCTCTTCCTCAAAGCAAACAACACTCGTATTTCCGACACTCAAACAAGTACATGTGGTTGCTAACAAAAAAATACTTATGAAAATGAAATGGAGCCCCAAACTCCACTTATTGCCCATTATCAACCCTACCTCAGTTTCAAATAGAAGAAAAAAAATATTGAACTGGAAAGATGGGTTGTTATAATATTGAAGTGATGAAGAATTGAAAATAGTTCATTTATAAAGCAATAAACAAAGACCAATTCTTTTTCATGGAAGACTTGGAAGTCAATGGACATATTTTATCCACAAATTAGTATGTTGTTGCTCCTGGCCTATTATTCTGCTTCTCGACGAAAATGATATGCATATGTGTGTGTGTGTGTATATATATATATATATATATATATATATATATATATATATATATATATATATATATATATATATATATATATATATATATATATATATATATATATATATAATGTAATATTCTTACATGATTTAGACTTTACATGATTTGCATATGTTAAGCTGAGACATACAGTTATAACAATTTCACTTGTAGAAACAGCTAGATCATAGCATATGAAGAAGAACTGATTATGTATCTAGCAGATTTAAAAGATTTTTTTTCAATTTTCTCCAACAGTAATTAGGTGCAAGATCAAATAGAAATACATATCATGAACACTGTGATGAAATCAGGAGATTATTTGACGCAAAACCAAATGAATCATTTGTGTAAGTACGAAAGGGTCTACTGAAAAGTATGGAAAATTATTGAGTTTTATGCATTTTCTCCCATGAACAGGTAAAAACTGAATTATGTGTTTGTCCGGGTACCATTAATTTTTGCAAGTTTGGAATGCATCTGGATAACTAAACGATGAGAATTGGGTGAGATAGAGAAAAGAATGGGAAACTTACGAGGTGATCATCGAAGACTGAGAAATCGAAAGTGGTGGTGAGGGGGGCTGGATGGAAGGGGTAGTGTTTGGGAAAGCAAATCGTTTAGGGTAGGAATTAAAAATTTGATTTGTTTCTATTATAAATATGAAAAGTTTAAATGTGTAAATGGATTTTGTTTTAGTTCAAAACTTGATTATTTTGGCTTGGTGGTCTTTTGATAATATTTCCATGTGGATTTGGTCCTATTAAAAATTGCAAAATTATCTTTATGGTATGTATTTTTTCTGTGTTTTGGTCCAATCTCCAACTTATTTGGATTGGTGATCCTTTTGAGTTGGTATGGTCCCTCCGAATATTGAAATGACTATAATACCCTTGAGGTATTTATTTTCCACTTTTATTTCATTTTTTTAAACTTATTTATTTATTTTAATAATTAAAAATTATATACCCTTATTAATCATCAAAATATCATATTTACCCAACTTATTTTCTAAATATCATATTTACCCTTTATAAACTTTTAAAATATCATATCTGCCCAAATTTTGTTTTTTAATTATTTTTTATATATTTTATAATTATTGTTTATATTTTAAAATCATTCTAATTGTAAAAAGAATTAAATTTACCATATTATCTGTACTTTTGGTTTTTTCTCCTTTTACCCATGTTCCAGTCTTGTAACCCAAAAACAAAAGTGTTTATTTGTTGTGTAAATTGCAAGCCTCCAAAAAAGTTACAGTCCTTTCCCTTTTCTAACTCAAGTCTAAGTGTGTTTTTTCTCTCTGTAAATCGCAGATAACACCCAAAACTCCTGTAAGGTCGAGAGACCCACCCTTGCACCAATGGCTGCCCCAACCTTCGATCCAGGTCAGACAAACTTGATGAGGAACAACAACATTTACTCCCAGTTCTGTGTGTGTTCTCATTCATATCCCTTCGATTCATAATACAAGGGTAAAAGAAAGGATTCCAAACAGACAATCGACTTGTTTTTGAATGCCCCCGTTCAGAATCGATAGTATCCAGAGAAGTTTTTGATGAATATGGTATGTTGGCCTGTTGTGTTAAGCATGCATCTAGATATATTCCTCTGATCGGAATAAAAGGTATAGTTTCTTTAATCCAGCTCAAGACTTAACCCATTTGAAGTGATTTTATTTATTTTGGCACTTTCACTTCTAGCAATGAAACTCTAAAGTAAGAGATGGGGGACACGATTCAGGGGCTAAGATGACACAGGTAGCATCGTGTTTGTGATATTGGATCAAGAGTATCAAAACAATTTGGAAACAGGGATGATATGGTCAATATAATTTTATTAATCATTATAATGATTATAAAATATTAGAAAATGAATTTGGGCAAATTTGAAATTATTAATTATTAATACTATGGATGACGGTGAGTGGAAAACCGTCGTCCAAATCGTAGCCGTTAAAACTCAATCAAGTTTTCATCTGAGCCGCATAAACTCAAATATTACGGTTGTTTGTAGTTCATTCCATCGGCTCCTGCTTCTTCTCCCCACGATTGCTTCCATGCTTCTTATTCGCTAACCACTTCTTGGCAGTTCTGTCTTCTCCACACGATCTACACAATCGCCGGATGTCATCTCCCACAGACATTCAATCGGTTTCTAAACCACCCACTTTAACACTGTAAATTTTCAAATAAATTTTTCATTTTTAAAATCACATAAACTCAATGTCACATTTCTCAAGAATCACAAAATGTATAAGTTGTCAAAACACAAATCAACAATGTTTGATAAAATCCCAGAATCCTCAAAATCATGATCTCTAACTGGTGTGTACAATCAAGCTGGCGCCTTCCCGCAATGTTGAAAAATACCTGAAACACATATCACACAACACGGTAAGCACAAAGCTTAGTGAGTTCTCTAAAATACCACACACAAATAATTAGCTTCTCATGGTTATATCTTGATAAGGACCCTCTAGTCATGTGTCTTAAAGCAAACAACACTTATATTTCCCACACCCAAACAAGTACATGTGGTTGTTAAGAAAAAAATACTTATGAAAATGAAATGGAGCCCCAAACTCCATTGATTGCCCATTATCAACCCTAACTCAGTTTCAAATAGAAGAAAAAAAATATTGAAAAGGAAAGATGGGTTGTTATAATGAAGTGATGAATAGTTCATTTATAAAGCAATAAACAAAGACCAATTCTTCATGGAAGACTTAGAAGTCAATGGACATATCGTATCCACAAATTAGTATGTTGTTGCTCCTGGCCTATTATTCTGCTTCTCGATGAAAATGATATGTATGTGTGTATGTGTGTGGGTGTGTGTGTGTGTGTATATATATATATATATATATATATATATATATATATATATATAATTAGGATTAAATATAAATCACAATTATTGTGTAAATGTATGACCATTTTGGGTCCACGGGATTTAAAAGAATGTGTGGTTCTGATAACAATGGCATGATGGTAATTAACTGAAAAAAAAATATTTCTTTTAGAAATTAAAACGACAATTAAAGCTAAATTGGACACTTTATATAATAGCAATTAGGAAAGTGAATGTATTAAAGGATTCATACCAAAAATTCAAGAAAAGTTCAGATATAAATTTAACAATATGCAAATTAACAGTTTTGAAAACTAAATTTCAAATCAAAATTAACAATTCGATCTTCTTCATTCCGTTCTTCACAACCCATCTTCATTTTTGTGTTCCATTCTTAAAGAATTAGTTTTGCTTTAGCGTTTTATTCTCCAAGAATCATTTTCAACTGCACATTCCATTGTTATGTATTCCATTCAAGAATTAGTTTACATTCTGCCATCCATTCTTCTGAACCAAAAAAAATTCTTTGGAAAGATTGTTATAGCAACTATCTAATTCTCTAAGAATGTGAAAAAAAAAAGAATGGAAATTAATCATATTTTACAAGAATGTGATTAGATTCTTTTAAGATGAAATAAAAATAAAAATACCATATCTCATAAACAAAACCCATAAAACAATAATTCTTATTATATAAACGAAAATTCTAGCAAAATGAAATTATAAGAATGTAAGCCTATTCTACAAGAATGTTAGGAGATTCTTTAAGAATGTGAAAAAGAATATGAGAAATTAATCAAATTTTATAAGAATGTGATTAGATTCTTTTAAGAATGAAATAAAAAAAAAACCATATCTCATAAACAAAATCTTTAAAATAATAATTCTTCTTATATAAACGGAAATTCTAACAGAATGAAATTATAAGAAAGTAAACCTACTCTACAAGAATGTTATGAGATTCTTTAAGAATGTGAAAAAAATATAAGAAATTATAACATACCAATATAACACATATTTTTACGAAGCAACAAAGTAAACATCTTTTTTTCACCTAAAAAAATACCTATTTATACAAATCATTTGAGTTTATTACAAAGCTCCAAACATAAAATAATGCAACCGACCATGCTCTGTTTTATATCAGTAAAGCCAAACTTCCTTTTGGTTAAAGACATACTCCCTTTTGATCAAAAACTTGCAGCTACATCTTTCCCTCTAAAGATTACATTTCTTTGAATAGGAGATAAATTTTTCCTTCGTCGATACCAATATGCCTTCTTTTTTCTACATTGTATCACTTTTAAAATTAATACCCAAATTCTGAAAATGCTCATCATCGTTGCCATCACTTCAATTATCATTAAATTTAACCAACAACTTCAA